AAAGGCATCCGCGGCTAAGAACACAGTAGTTCCGGAAGTGTACACTTTTGATGAATCTACGGGCCTCGCTCCACCACTCTCGAAATGTGCAAAACGAGAGTGAATCTTCTGCTAGAACAAGGAAAGATACATCGCCATGATTTTTGTCTTTTGTGCATTTCCGGAGTAGTGGAGGGACACCCTATAAGCTGTGTGCCCTAAATCCCACAATGAATGTCAAATTCCGTTGCTCATATGTTGATAGCAGAGTGCTAAGAAAGCTAAATTGAACAAACTGAAGATTATTAACCGTTATGGTCGAGATCATGGATGATTCCGTCTGACTGTGGATAGATAGATCAGGGCCCAACAAAAGAAAACTATCTACAGTGTGCCAGTGTAGTAACCAGCCAGCCAACAGAAGTCACCTGGATGATAGTGTCTGCGTGGGTGCTGCTGTCTGCTGAGGATCTCACAGATGTTGAGAAGAGCTGATGAGTAAGACCTTGCTGCAAGCGTGTGCTGGGGTGGGCTGAATGTCACCGTCGGTACAGTTCGTGAGAGGGTCACAGTTGCAGTGGTAAAGGCATCCGGCTGTTATGGCCGATGTCACCCGTTCGATTCCGTCTGGCTGCTGCAGATCGAACCGGGCCCAACCAAAAACTATTTACCTTGATTCATTTTCAGAATCAACGGTCCAGAATGAAGAACCAGATAAGTGGGACCAGAACTCGGACCGGCTTTGAAAAAGGGGATAAAAGAAGAATAACCAACAGAACCCGGATCAGATACCTAAGCTGATCAGAACAGATACGACAATTGGTCTATTTTTAGCCAAGGGACTGAGAGAGCTCCTTGGCCAGTGCTTTTCACTTGTAAAATTCCTTCCAGTTTTTTTTTTTTTTTTTTTTTTAATAAATAAGTGGAAGCATTGCTGTGGTCTATTTGTGCGGAGCGTCACATGCCGGGAACAGGGTCCAGCGTCCCTGCTGTCTGTGACTGTACATCAATTGGTCACGTGCTGAGAACCTGGCCCAGCATCCCTTCTGCCTGTGTCAATACATCAATTGAACTGCAGGGGCCCTTACCAGGCTTCGGCTAGAACCATTTGAGAAAGTTGCAGAACTGCGATGCCGAGGAAGACACCACAGCTGCCGCGGAATGGAAGTCGAAGCTCGAAGTTAGTGTCTCGATCTCTTTCCCACGTCAGCCTGGGGAGTCCGTCCGTTGAAGCATCGGAACTTGGAGCCTGACCCTTGGTCACAGTGTCTTCAGCACCCTGTGCAGCCGGGAGTTGAGTGGCTTCACACAGGGGGGAAAGACAGCAGGTGGATGTTTGTGACATAACACTGTGGTTCTCGTTCCAGCGGTGCTGCGTGTTCATTATGGGCAGCATACCTTCCCAGGGGTGAATTTGAGCTTGCCGGAACCCCCGAAACGGGGTTGTTAAATTGATCAATGATGTCCCCAGACTCCAATATTTTCCACCCTCAGGCTTCCTCTCGGCAATTCTGCCCAGCGCACCCCTACTACTCTCCAGGCCTACCTCAGTGTGTACCCTGAAGCGGTGCGCTGTGATGACCTTGCTAAGTAAGGACCATGATCAACTTTCTACCATCCTGGTGTGATGACCTGACCAGAGTGGCTGTAGGTACCGCGGCTGAGCCGCGCTGAGCAGTAACGCGGCTCAGCCCTGGTTGAAGCATATGGTTAAACGAGCCCTGTTGTACGGTACTTTGGGCGCTACCGTCTTCACCCGAATAGAACGCCCGGCCATTATAGCTGTATTTGGCACAACTTTCGGTCCAGATGCCGCGATAATGACCCGGCGTCCAGGCTACCAGAGTGGCCCGGGTCCACTTGCCCGGCCGGGCCAAAAAGAAATAAAAAAATAAAAAAATAAAATTGATTTTTTGATTTAAATTTTTATTTTAAATTTGGTAAGGAATCTCGGTGTGACCCTGAGGCAAAAGTTGTTCAGTTTATTTTTCTGCATAACATAGTTTGTTTTTCGGATTTCTTGGATTTCTTTTTTTTTTTTTTTTTTTTTTTTTTTTTTTTTTTTTTTTTTTTTTTTTTTTTTTTTTTTTTTTTTTTTTTTTTTTTTTTTTTTTTTTTTTTTGGCTGGGACCTTCCCTAGTCCTTGCACGACTGGGCGGCCCGGGAAAATAGGGCGACCCGGGCGGCCCGGCTGGTAGCCTAGCCGGGCGTTCTATTCGGGTGAAGACGGTAGGTGTACTATGTGTTCTTTCTACACCTCCCATGGGTAGACGCTCTAATTGTCCTGCAAACTGACCCGAGCTCCCAGTGTATATGTAGTGATGCACACTCTAGAAGATATCACAGGCAGTGTCTAATGGCCACCCTTAGCCAAGGTCTAACCTATGACACCCCCTGAGCAACCTGGGTATATCCACCTAGCACAGCTGTTGTCAGTTATTCTAGTTGTTAATGCGACCTAGAGGTTCTAGCCTATTATGAGTAGATGTACTACCCCTCCACCTTAATCATCCACTGGACCCCTCTCCACTGGCTTGTGGTTGTAGTCACTCACAACATCAAAACAATTCACAACAAATGCTTTCACATGGAATTTCATAATGGTCTATGTCATATATGTAGTGTTGTTGTTCTGGTCATTATAGCTTGTATATCATCTGGAGGAACCCTAGCCTCTGTCCTCAGTTGGTACATGGCCACCATCTGTAAGCATGCCTCGTCAACTAACGGTCTTCCCCTGAACATAGCACACCCTGAAAATGAATGTATGCAAGCTATCTTTCTGGTCAGAGAGCCAAAATAAGGGTGCGTTGTGTTTGGGGGAAGGCTGTAGATCCCTCCAGCTGTTGTAGCTGGGTCTTGTCATCACCCAGAAGCTCCGGTCTTGGTCGTTAGCATGTATAATACGTCCATACCCTCCCATATCTATGTCATCAACGGGGCCTGCTCTGCTCTATTTGTCCATTATATGGGAAGCAGACAATCCCACTAGCTCCTAAGCCCCCAGAAGCCCCCCTGCTGCAAGTTCCCCCTGAGGGAGGATCAACACCCAAGGTCGTCACTAATCCCCCAGAAAGTCCCTCCCCCTGAGGGAAGATGAACACTCAAGATGGTCTCTAAACCCTGTTAGAAGGCCCCAGAGTTGAGAAGTGTTACATCTTCGAGTCACACGGGTCCTACCGGACCCGACTTAGGGCCGGAGGGACACACCAGGGCCTAAAGGCCCGACCTTTGAGGGTCACAGGCCCTAAAGGCCTGATTTTGCACTCAGCCCAGCGGGTGGGCCCAAACGACACTTT